ACCACCACCACCAACTGAGGCAGGCGTGGACTGGATTTCATCTGCTGCTCCGGGCAGTGGCACCGTACCTCCTCACACCTCTCGCTTTCCCGGTCTCCCTTCCTCTCTCTCTCTCTCTGTCTCTTGCTGGGCGGATACCTTGCCCTTCGTTAGCACCACCTTGGCTTCCACTGTCCCCTCTGTGTACCTACGAATACCGACTGACTGAGGTGGTGACCAGTGACCACCCACCCCCCCTGGTCGTCTCCCCGTCCCCAGTCCCAGTCCCCCGTCCCCGTCCGCACCTTTCCTCCTCGGGTCCTGCTCCTCCTGCTCTTCCCACACACTGGTCTGGTCTGTTCAGTGTCGGCTGCTGCTGGCTTCGCCCTCTCGCCTCCATTCACACGCACGCCGCCATCATTCCTCGCTCCACTCTTCTACCATCCTCACCCCCATCCACCGTCCCCATCCTCCCCAACTCCATCCATCCCAACCCGACCCGTCCCATCCATTTCACTCCTCGATTTTCTTTCTCGCGTCTTTTTTCTTTCCTCCCCTCCCCCAACCTTCCCCTCTCCCAATCCCCCAAAACCCTCGAATCCGCCGTATCACGACGAAATCCACCGTCCTCGACTCTCACGAATTCCCCCCTTCGAGTCGTCGACACCCAGGATTCAGGTTCTCGTCTCTCTCCCTCTTCGCGATCTGTTGCCGCCGAACGCCATCCGTTGTCACTTCCGCCCGCCCTAACTTGGTCGAGTGGTTCGTTCATACGAGTTCGACTTTGAGCTATCAAAACACCGACCACCAAACCCGTGTTTTCTACCCTCAACAAGATCGTCCGCCAACGCCGTCTTTTTGGCATCGCGAACTCCGTCCGACGTTCCCTTTCCTCAAGGTAAGCCCCGACTTTTCCATCGTTCGAATATCATCATCTTGTCGCCGCCCGCCCTTCGCCGACAGTCTGGTACACGACCTTCGTCCTATGCTCGACGCCCGATCCGACCAAACAAGACCATATGCGATACCGGCAGGTTGGCTGGGGCACTCTCTACAGCATTCATTCGCCCGACCTTTCCACTCGCCCAAGCTTTTCACCAAACGCCAAACCTGAGCTGGGCTCGACGCTTTCCGAACGCCAAATGTGCTGGGGTTGCATGACATCGGCTGCATTTGTTTCCCACAGGGGCCACCCTTCACTGGCACAGTCGCCCAAGTCGCCTCCCAGCACTCCCGCACTCCAACACCGGCCCGCCACTACTTGACGCATCATTCGACGAAGCTTGTGTATCAGACTCAGGCACAGACTGTCAAAGTTTTTATTCTGTATCGACGCTCTCGCTGACATCCACCAATCCAGACAGTACTGCGGCTTTCCTTCTTCCTATTGCCCGACTTTCTTCATCCGGTGTCTCGCGGCTCTTGGATTCCTGACGCCCTGACGATCAACCTCAGTTAAAGCATCCCTTTTCCGAGTCAGCCATCACCAGTATCCATCCCCACGAAGATACTTATTCTTCCTGGGTCATCGAGCCGTTATCGGTCACCGAATCACGACTCACCTAGTTTTCTTGTCCGACTCCTACGCTTGACATTCGCTCCACGAAGTCGACCGACACGAAACCCTTGATGGCTATTCGCGGTTACTAAGGGCTAGCGTCTTCCAACCCTCTCTCAACGTCTCGATTTCACGGCCTTGGACATCACCATCAGCACACTGCGGCTCAGCCCATCGTTGCTTAGTGTCTCCCATCCAGGTGCCTCGAGCAACTTCCTTCCCGACAAAGGTCATTTCACGATCTTCGTCGGACCCCCCTCTCAATACCGCCATCATGCCCGGAGGCGTCTGCGCTGTCCTCGACTACGAGGTTGACCACATGGCCGAGTTCGTTGCCGAGATGGCCACCCGTGTCGTCATGCCTCTGTCGAGCACCGCCGTCACGCCCCCCTTCCGCAAGTTCGTTTCGCAGATCCTCTCTTCGACGCGTCTGCCCAAGAGCACCATTCTCCTTGGCATGAACTACCTTGCGAAGCGCGTCAACACCCTCAAGCAGAACAACCCTGCCTACACGGTTCCTGAGGGTCAGGTCTGGCGCATGTTGACAGTCTCGCTTCTGCTTGGCAGCAAGTTTCTGGACGACAACACCTTCCAGAACCGCTCCTGGTCTGAGGTGAGCGGTATTCCCGTCGCCGAGCTCAACGCTCTGGAACATGAGTGGCTGGAGCAGTCTGGCTGGCGTCTCTACGTCAACCTGGACTACAGCGAGGACTACAAGGCTTGGCTCACCAGCTGGGACGAGTGGAAGGTTCTCAAGGACCAGGCCACAGCTCGCGCCAACCGCGAGAGACTTGTCCCTGCCATCGACACCAGCATCAACAGATACAGCGGTCGCACCGCTTACAACCACTTCGTTCAGCAGCAGGCAGCTGAATACGAGCGCTACGAAGCCATCAAGCGCAACGAGATTGCCCACCAGCAGGCCTACAACTGGAACTGGCAGGCGGCACCGCTCACCCCTCCCGACTCGGGCTACGGCACACCCGAGTACATCAACTCTGCCACGTCGGCCAACGCCCGATACAACGAGTGGTTCTCTCAGGCGGCCGCTAATGCCCAGTGGAATGGTCGCTATCAGCAGCCCTCTCACAACTACTACAACCACCGTCACAACCAGACTTACTCGGGCCACTACGGCTACAACCAAACCATGTGGGAGCATGGTGTTGCTGAGTGCAATTGCGCCAACTGCGTCGGACCTGCTGTCAAGCCGCCCGGCTACTTCGCGCACCCCGGCTTCGGCCAGCCCGTCATGGGCTGAGCCCACCGGCGATACTGGACGGACACAACCGTCTATGAAATTGGCAGGAATTTTGTTATCGGAAAAGTTTGGGAGGTCTAGCGTCACCGGAGACGCAGGCTTTTGTTCTTTTTTCTTTCGGCATGACGATACATTTGCATTCTTCAGATACCCTCTCACGACGAGAAACCGAAAGAAGCGGTCACTTGACCCGATGGTTCTCACCTCGGAGTTCGACCATCACGACTCGGGCGCGGCTCGACGCCTCCGACCCACCACACAGCTCCGGCTGCCGGGTGTTCTGATACCTGGTTCTGACGTGTCGGAGGTGGATGTTCACGATTCTGCGGCCGCGGCCCCTAATGACATATTTCTTTAATTCTTTGTGTTACCCTTGGTATACGGATAAAATTCATCATTGGCGTTTTACGGTCAACCCCTGCGATTCCCCTGGAGTTTGGACGATAGATTTTGTTGCTATCCGTATGGGTTATGTGGTAGGAGGTGGTCTCATCCGACGATCCGATTTTCTTCCGACCGGTTCAACGGCACAAAACCAGCGATCGCCACCGACAACGAAACCTCCCGATGTGCCGAGATGATGCTAGTACTGGACACCCTCGACTTTCTGGCGTCCCACCGTAGCTCATAGCTTACATTACTCGGGATGGACTCGCGAAGCACCGACAATATTCACTCGTTTGCTTCCACTTTCCTTTGTTTGGTCCGTGGAAGAAGATTGTATTGTTTTCTTGTAATTCTCATACTGGCACTCACCGGATTACTCTCAGTTGGCGCATGGTCTACCGGAGTCGGTCGTTCACGTCATCTGAGTCTGAGGTGACGCCTCGCTTTGTCCAATGCCTTTTGCGCTACCGCGTCAAAAAAAAGACAAGTTGCATGCAGTGGAGGTACATATGGATCATGTTTGATTTTTTCGGCTGGCCTTGGGCAGCCATTTGTTTGTTTGCAAGAATGAAAAAAAATGGGACTCACATGGAGAGGTGTTCTGCATTGCGCTGCAGGTCAAAACGGAGGGGACATCCCCCGGCAGGTTTTTTCCTCGCTTTTTTTTCGGGGAGTTATTTTTCTTTACTTTGTTACGCGGCACTTTTTGGACGGTTGGCGATCGGTACGCTCTTCTCGTTCCAGACTGAACGAGAAACTGAGACGCCGCAGAACCTCCGCTGTCCTCTGTTTACGACATTCTTAGACGTCTCTTATTCTTACTTCCTCTTCGTGTCAATTTGGCATTCACTAGAGAGCGTTATGGCTACGGGGTATGAATTATCAGAAGGGTGGCAGATAATGCGGGCTCGTTCTTCCTTGCACGTATAGCCATTGGGATTGTGGTTTTTTTTACAAGGTCTGTATGACTTGGGGTTTCGGAGAAAAAAGCCAACGGGACTGGCAACGGACCTTCCACCACGTGTGCAGCGTCGGCCGACTTGGGCGACACACGAGCGTGTCCTCGCTCCCACGCCAAGTGTAAGCTGTCGACACAAGGGAAATTGGTTTGGATATGAACACGAGGGAAAAGATTGGAAGGAAAAGCAAGGATAACAAAACGCGTGCAAGAAGCACCGACGCATGGGCACGACCCATACTACTGGAAGACGCAGTCCTAGACAAACAGATAAATACACAAAAACTTGAACCACTGCAAACACCACTTGAATACAAAGTGAACATGAGAAGCTGATAATGACGCGGAATCAGCTCATGTGAAATTAACGTGATGGAACGAAAATTTGGAGGGCATGCGCCAGTGAAGTGAAATAGAAATTGGCTGCTGTTAAAGACGGGAGCCAAAAGTGGGGCCGGATGAAGACGGAGCCTATGATTCGTCAACTTTCCAACGTCTCTCTTCACTTTCTCCAGCTACCTAGCCAGCCTGGGGCTTTCAAGATCCATCGTAAACACCACGAAACCATCAACGAAGTCATTCATCAGCCATTTAAACCGCTGTGTCATCGAAAAACACAGTTTTTCTTGTTTGCACGAGCTGTTTTTCTCATCTGCCGATTTCTCACGATCCTATTGCTCGGGGCATCCCGAAAAGTCGTTTTACCCTTCCGACCCTTCATTCACTCGGTGCTGGTTGACCGTCGCTCACAACACGACGTCAGCGACCAAGTCTTGAGATTTAATTTCTGCACGCATCCAATGCACTGGTTTTTCTCGCGCTTGGTTCGCTAGAGAAACTGGGGGAAAGAGGGGATTATGTCGCGATTCGTGTCGGCGGGGGCGATTAACGCCGAGACTGGCGAGGCTGTTGCCGCCGCTGAGGGCGAGAGCAAGGCGGTGACTTCGACGACGGGTTCTGGCGATGCGGGACAGACGAGGAAGAATGCCGAGTGGGAGGCCGTGCAGAAGGAGCTTGATGCGGAGAGGAAGAGGAGGGAGGAGGCGCGGGTGAAGGCGGTGGAGGGCGGGGAGAGGAGTTTGTATGATGTGTTGCAGGCGAATAAAGGTGAGTTTCCTCTGTCTCCGTCCTTCTTTGCTCCTTCATTTCCATTCTAGGCTTTTTTGCCATGATCACTTTTTTCCATGAGATTTGGTCCGACGAGGGAATGGATGATGAGACTAGACTGACGATACCTGGTTACAGCCGCGAAACAGGCCGCCTTTGAGGAGGCGAACAAGATCAAGAACCAGTTCAGGCCGCTCGACGACGACGAGATTGAGTTCCTGGACGAGGTGCGGGAGGCGAAGCGCGCGGAGGAGGAGCGGGTGCGCCGGGAGACGGAGGAGGGGCTCGCTGCGTTCCGGAGGGCGCAGCTGGGGAAGAGGCCTGCTGATGGTGATGCCGCGGACGGAGACAGCGGCGCTGGTGAGAAGGGAGGGGATGAGGGAGAAGGGGGCGGGGAGGAGGAGTGGGCTGTCGGGAGGAAGAGGAGGCGGCGGGAGAGGGTTGGGTTCGGGGTGAAGAAGGCTGGGGAGGAGAAGAAGGGTGAGGGGGATGGGGGTAGCAAGAGTGAAGGGAAGGAGGATGACAAGGCGAAGGAGGTTGAGAAGGTGAAAGCGAGTGCACCTTTGCCGGCGCCGGTGAAGCCTAAGATGGGCCTGGTTGCGTACGGGTCGGACTCGGATGATGAGTGATACTCGGACATCTCAGACGAGGGAAGAGAGATGAAGATGAAGAGGAGTGTACATTGGAATTTTCATCAAGCGGAGGCTTGGCTGAGCCGATATCTATCATAATGCCTCCCGCGCGCCTATTTTTTCCATGCAGTAGAATTACAGAAAATACGCCCCGGCCACCGGGGGGGGATAGTGTACAACCATTTTGATACTCCTAGGCACACCTTACTCTATATTGGCCGCGAGACAACGCACGCAAAACAGATCTTTCACTCGTCATCAACGTTTCCCACATTCGGGCCCTTCCTCTCGGCGGGCCGGACGGTCTCCCACGTCCAGATGCCCAGCGCGCGGAGGTTGCTCTTGATCCAGCCCTCGACCTCGGTCTCGGGCACCTCGATCGTGCGCGCGCGTTCCTCGACCTCCGGCGCGATCTCGAAGCGGCGCATGCGCTCGGCGATGCGCGGGTCGACGACGACGGGCGACGTCCAGATGCGCTCGGTGGAGAGCTCGGCGCGCTCCTCGTCGTCGCGGGCGTCTTCGGGCTTCTTGTAGGCGCTCTTGACCCAGTCGCGCTCCTCGTGCGCGAGGGCCGCCTGCTGCTCGTAGGGGCACTCGGGGTCGCCTGTGGGGCGGTACTCGCGCGCGTGGGCGAAGCAGACGGCGGCGACCTGGCGGCCGATGTCGTCGGCGAGGCGGCGGCGGTTGAGGAAGCGGCCCAGGCGGGTGAAGGTGCCGGAGAAGCCGAGGAGGTGGGGGAAGGGGATGGGTTCGGAGGGGGAGAACTCGGCGGGGAGGGAGGGGGGCAGGTGGGCGGCTTGGTAGTCTGCGGTGGTGTTGTGGGGGATGGGTTGAGGCGGGCGTGCGGGTTTCTTTTCCTCTTCTTCTGGCTTTGGTTGCTCCTCCTCTTTCTTGGGCGTCTCGCCGTCAGTGGTAGCGGCGGCGGTTGTGTCGTCGGGTTTGGGGGCCTTGTCCTCCTCGGGCTTCGGCGGCGGGTCAAGGGGCCCGAGCCAGCCCTCGTGCAGGCCGCGGATGTACTCCTTCCACGCGTGGCGGCCGATGACGATGTCGCCGCCGGGGCCGTCGTACTCGGGCACGCCGTTCTTCTGGCGCATGGCGTCGCGGAGGTTCTCCTCGGTCGGGAGCAGCTCGACGTCCGGGCGCTCCTCGCGGGAGCGCCTGCGGCGGATCTTCTCTGCGACGGCGGCGCGGACGTCGCCCTGCTGGCGGCCCTGGACGAACTCCCAGTCGAGCCCCGAGGCGGCGAGGATGGGCTTGACGTACTCGAGGAAGTGGTCCTGGGCGACGCGCAGGCCGTCGCCGGGGGGTGCCTCGATGAGGACGGTGAGGCGGCGGGGCAGCTGGGAGGGGTTGGCGATGGGCTCGGCGGCGAGGGGGGCGACGGCGCGGGCCCAGCGGGCGGTGGCGCGCTTCTTCTCGCGCTTGTCGTAGATGACGGCGCTGGAGAAGGCGGCTGTGAGGGAGAGGAAGATCATCCAGTTGCGGGAGGGCAGGCGTTTGGGCGGGCCGCGCATGCCGAGCATTTGCCAGACGGGGTTCGGTTTCGGGGCTTTGTAGGCTTCGGCGACGGAGGGGCCAGGGGCGGCGGTGGTTGTCGTAGAGGTGGGAGTTGGTTTTGAGGGAGGGGTCGTGGCTGAGGGCGCGGGAGGGGTTGCCTGGAAGGTGTTAGCGATGTGATGTTCGTGATGATGGGGATGGGGTGTGTATACCTCTGGAGGCGTGGGCGGCTTGGAGTCCGCCATGTTGGGCGGTTTCTCAGTGAGGACGAAGAATTATGCGGGTTTTCTGGTCGATTTTGTGGCGCACACACCAAAATATGGACGCGGAGGAGGCGTTCGCAATTAGCACGAGGGGTCTACCTCAGGCGGGACGAAGTGAGGTTTTTCGAATTTTTGTTCGCGATAAGAGCTTCGCCGAATTATCGGATCTACCCGTCCCAAAAGGGCAAGGTGGGGATTTGTCACCCACCGCCTTCCAGATACAGACTAGAGCCCGTGCTCAAAACGCACTACAAGCTGTCACTGGAGAGCCCGCCGCGTTTACTGTTCCTCGCTGAAGGCTGCCCGGCAAGCACAAACTCAATTGGCAGGGGAGTCTGGTCCAGCTCGGGCTTCGACGACGAAGATGCACACGGGGAGACATTGCAGCGGCACCCCGTCTGAAGAAATTATGCCCTTCTCTATGTTTTTCCCTCCGAGAGCCCCGAAAGGCTGAAGCACCCAGCTCCGGGATCGGGACCTTCATCTTTGATACGCAGAGGCCGGGGGTCCACTATGGGAGGACATTTAGCTTGGCCACCCTGACTGGTAGATCTGGACTGCATGATCGGCCATTCTGCAGAACGACGGCTTAAAAGTCGCGATGGCAGGAGGACGCATTGCGGTAAATGGCTTGACGGGTTGTCATTGGGCATGCAGCCTAAGGCACCTAAGTTAGGTATGGATGGGGATTAATTAGGTACAGACACACGGGGCATCACTTGAGCCTACCGCCAGTCTTGATGCCAATCTTGGTCAACGTGCCTCGTCAGCTTTCTGTTGGAGTCTGCTTGGTGCAGCGTGGCGGTGCAGACAGCCTTCTAACACTGGCGGGAGATCTTCCCATACGATGGTCGAACTATAGAGGAGTAGCACTCTTCGTAACCGTAGATCATGAGTTATCCATGGGTTATGAGTGGCTGTTGTGTAGTCATAATCCCAGCCGAGGGCTCTCTGGCGGGAACACAGGCGACGCTGAAACACAGGCGAGCAAGCAGAGACGGTGAGCCACATGCTGTCACATAACCGGGGCAAGTTTCTTTCCTCATGATTGACGTGCGATGTCAAGCAGCGGCGTGAATCAAAAGGCGGAGAGTGCAACGCTGCCATGTGCCACGGACAAGCTTGTGTGGTGGCGGGTGTAACGGGGGGCCGCCCCGTGCAGTGAATAGCGTGGGAGGCCGCACCGCTGCAGACACGACGATGCTATTTTATCTCGTGCTGGGGCAACTGGGAATGGGTTCTACGACGTCGTGTTGATGCTTGGCCCGTTGCAACGCGTGATGCTTGGTGCCGCGGAAGAGCCAGGCTGCCGGGTGGTCGTTGTGTCGCGTGTGTGTGCGTGTGCGGCCGTGTCGCGGTTTTGGCATAGAAGAAGCTAGAACAATGCGGGTAGCGGAGGGTATGGGATGACGACGGCAATGCGATGGGCTGCATCAGGTGGAGGGTCAAAGTGACGTGGGCTTCTTTCTTCGCAACGGAGAGACGAGATGGAAGGGCCCGTCGGAGAGATGAACCGGCGAGGAGGGATAGCCATGCTTTGGCTGCAGTAGGGCAGAGTGTCAATGCCCTTTCTTTCCTTGCTTGCTTGTCTTGGGTGGCAGGCAGTTGGAGTTGGGCCCCCAAAAGACCGGAGGACCGGAAGGGGCAGGGTAAGGTTGTTTACGGTGATCTGAACTCGAGGCCCGGATGGCTTGGCCGGTGAGTGCGAGTGTTAGTGTGGGTTGGGAGTGAGTGAGTGTATCCGTATGGTGTGTACGTGCGGGAGGAGGTTGACGGGTAAGGCAGGCAGGCAGGGAGATAGGGAAGGGGGCATTCGGCAAGATGCCGAGACGATGTAGCACGCTTGGAGGTGGAAAGCCAATCGCAGAGGCGGGAGGAGACGTTGGCGATGATGGTGTTGGTTGCACCGGCAGTCGACGTTGGCGTCCACGACATCTTGTTTCTTTTTTTTTCCCTTTTCTTCGGATGGACGGTTCCGGTGAGGGGCCTGTCTGTCAAGTTAAGGTGGCTTAAGTTAAGGTAGCCAAAAGTAAGGCACCTTAACTTAGGCGGGGGTCGCGACGTAACCATGGCAGTTGATTTTGACTCTGATGAGCAAAAGTCAACGATGTCCGTAAGGTGGGAAGACGAGGTTGGTGTTGGCTTACACGTATTCCCAGAGACACGGTTGGTTGGTTGGCTGGCTGACTGCTGAAGAGTCGGTGAAGGAGGGCCGCCGCCACAGGAGAGAAGAGGTCGGGGTTAAGTTAAGCGATTGGAAGCGGCCTTCATTGCTGTGAAAGCCTGAAAGGTGAATTGGAAACTTGCACTTCACAAGCCCCCGCCACTCCTCCGCCCCGCACGTGTGGGCCAAGGACGGCTGTCGGTGCGAGGGGAGACTGACACTGGAATCTGGATGCAAGATTGGGAGCATCGCAGGTAGCGGAATGAAGAACAGGGTGTTTGCCAAAGTGTGTTTCATGGGCGGGCAAAAGATGCAAAAGGCGGATATCAGAATAGATGAAGCCCCGTCGCGGTAATATTCTTCACTGGGCCTTAAAGAGTGCAGGAGCAAGAGGTGCAGCGGAGGAATTCAAAGGTACATGCACATACATGGACCTAGCATACATTAGGTAAGTACCTCACAACATGGCATGGCAGCTGTACCCCACATGTCGGCCCATCAGCCAGTGACAAGCCGGCATGGCTCCAAACTCAGGGGTAGCTGGGGTCCAGCAAGGCCCGACTTCACGTCCAAGGCCCCCGCGACGGGCCCACGACGCTGCCACTGCCGTTCCATGCCGCTGCCGCTGCTTGGTGTTTGCTTGACTTTTGCTCTGTGTTACCTGCGCCTGTGACCGACTGACGGAAGGTCCTGAGGCGGCGAGTCCCTGAAAAGTGTCACGTCCCGTCTGGACTCTGCCGCGACACTGGCTGGGACCCGGAACCCAATTGCTGGCTGTTGGGAGCGGCTGAAAAGTAAACCTGAAAGTCACCAAAGTCACTCTTCAGTGCACTGCAAGCGCCTCCTTCCACAAGAATACCTCAGTACTCTGTACTGCGTGCACGCTGTCCTGTCCCGGCTCCGGGTCTCGTGACTTCAACTTCCCCCCTTCCATTCTCGAGTCTCGACTACCTTACTGCATATGCATCGTACGAAGGTAGATTTGTCGACTTCACCTCTGTTTGCCATTGTCTCTTCCCTTTGCTTGAGGGTGCCTCGTCCTGTCGCCTCGAACCCCCCGAGACCGCATACCCAGCTAAGAAGCTACCCAAGGTAACCTAGCTGCTCTCCCGTCGTCGCATTCCTTAAGCCTACGAAGCGGGGTCCAGGTCCTAAGGATAAGGGGAAGACCAGACCAGACCAGACCGAGAAAGAAAAAAAAGATCACCCCTTAGAGCCTGGTGCCTCTCCTCTGCTGCCCCTTCCCCCGTTTCCCCTCCCCTTCCGCCACATCGTGCCGCATCGCCAAAAAGTTCCCCCTCCCACCCCTTTCGCTACGTTTTAGTAAGGAGACAGAGGAGACGACGTCCAGCCGCCGCCCGTCTTTCTGCCCCCTCCAACCATCCAATTCACTCCAAAACACCACAAGGTACATCCATATTCTTCCTCTTCTCTCCCACACATACACCCAAACCAACCCAACCCTACGCCTGTCGATATCTCACCGGTCGCCGTCCATGACACAACCCAACCCATTCATTGACTAGGGCTCACTCTCTCTCTTAATTAGCACTGGCGGGTTCCTCCCATCCACCCACCCACCGCAATCTATCTCGTCGACAGCCGCCTCGGACCAATCAGCCCAATACTGCCAACCTCCCGCCTTGACCCTGGGCGTCCCGCGGCTGCAACCTCTAGTCCAACTTGGCTGTCTTCCCCGCCGTTTAGTCGCTGCGACCAACCCAACTGGCCACCGCATCGTACCGCAACCGCACCGCACCGCACCGCTGCCACCGCAGTCTGCAGACCTCCTCCTCAGCTCGACGACCCCGTTCGCCGGCCCCCATAGCAGCGTCAATTAAACTGCCACTTTGCTAGTCACCGCACAGCACAGCCTGCCCACGCCCACGCCCACGCTGTCTGCTTGCCAGCCAACCAACCCCTACCCGCACACCGCGTAGCCCCCCCGAGTCAAGACGAAACCGACAACCATGGACAGCAATAATAACCGTCTCTATCTCAACATTGGGAACAACAACGATCGTCTGGCTCCCGGTGGCGACCGCCAGTATCCTACGACTCCCTCGACCTTTCCTCAGCCAGTCTTCCCAGGCCAGGCCCAGCAGCAGCAGCAGCAGCAACAGCAAGGCATGCAGCACCCACAGCAGCAGCAGCAGCCCTACCAGGCCGGCTATGCTCCCCAAGGCTACTTCATGAACAACCAGCAGCAGGGCCAGTACCCTCCCCAGGGCCACGGCGACTACAACGCCGGCTACCAGCCGCGATCCAACACTCCTGGCGGCAACGACCCCAATGTCGGCCTCGCTCACCAATTCTCCCACCAGAACCTCGGCGGCGCTGCTCGCGCATCCCCCTATGGTTCCCGCGGCCCCTCTCCCGGCCAGCGACCTCGCACCGCTGGTGCTCCCGGCCAGGCCCCCTCTGGCTACGGACACTACGCGACTCCTCCTCTCCCGAACCAGCAGGGCTCTTCTGCCGAGATCTTCGCCCCAGCTCCTGAGCGCAACTACGAGAAGTATGGCGTCAACGCCAACAGCAACCAGAAGAAGTGCACCCAGTTGGCGTCAGACTTCTTCAAGGATAGTGTGAAGCGTGCCCGTGAGAGAAACCAGAGGTAAGGAGGCGTTTCGCATGCCAGCTGTTGCAGCTTGCTGACTGCTTCGTGTACAGACAAAGCGAGATGGAGGCCAAGCTTTCCGAGCCCAACCAGAGTCAATCGAGACGCGAGCAGATCTGGTCCACCGCCGGCCGCAAGGAGGGACAATACCTGCGATTCCTGCGAACAAAGGATAAGCCCGAAAACTACAACACCGTCAAG